GAAGTGAGTGGCTTACAAGCTTTCAAGAGGGAACCTAGATCCAGAGGGCACGGTGGAAGGTAGAATCTCCACTGAATAGTATCCAATCTGTCTGGACAGGACTGATGAAAGGAGATGTGGATAGCACTCATGTGGTACAATAGTGAATAATTGCTATCAGGACTGCCTATGAGGGTTGGAAATGTAAAAGTAGAAGTTTTGTAAGAAAAGGAGGGGAGTGATTGACTTTGCAGTCCAGGAGCAGAGGTCTCTGGGACCATCAAGGGAGAAAACTGGAGTGCAGGACCCTACCCAGAAAAGCAGTGACACCAAAGATGGAGGCAGAGACGATGACGTGGAGAGATGGAGCGGCTGGGAACTCTAGACCCAGAGAGGGAGAGGCGCTGTGTGCTGACGACCAGGGGGCAGGCTTGTGGGGTGTACCATTGATTGGTTGATGATACATGGAGGGGATTGTAACTATGGCAATGTAATGATATATGATAGGATGAATGTAAAACTAAAGTTCTCCCATGTAAACTATCAAATAATTCATAATAAAACATTTTTTTAAAAAGGGGTTCTTGAACTTGCCCAGTGAAGTGGGCTTCCTGCGGAGCCTTTGTAGTGTATAGGACCCTTGGTGGAATCCTGAGCCCCATCCAGAATCTTCTGAGGTGGGACATTCCCACTTGAAAGGACAAGCAGACCAGCCTGGAGCAGCTACAGGAACAGAAGATACCTCTTGAAATAAAGACCAGCAGGAAAAATCCAAAACAAAAATGGCAGTTTGATTTGCTACTACAAAAATGAGCAAGTTGTTCACCAGAAAGCCATCAAGGCAAGCAATCAAGTTCCTTCAGGACAAACTCCCCTCTAAGACTGAAACTCAAAGGGAACACATGAGCAAGCATGTAAGCTTGCTGGCAATCACACTGGTTTACTGGTGAGTGGAAGAAGGGAAAAGGCAGCAATGAAGATAAGGGCTAAGTTCGACCACGTACCATAGACTGCCATTGACCTGGAGATGATAGAGAGAAGAGGAAGGGCTGGTTGGTCCGAAGTGTGGTGAGAACTAAAGACTCCTCAACCCATGGACGAGGACATAATTACAGAGAGCTAGAGCTGCGAGTGAAGCGTCCAGCTGATATAAAGTGAAGAGAGATGCACACGAACGCCCAAACTTGTAGATGGTACTCATTTGACCTAGCCTCGATGGCTTTATGATCAGAACTGGACTAGAAGATTAAAAAAAAATTTTTTGATAAAGGAAACAAGTGTAAATTGCTACAATTTGATGAACTTGACCTATACTTATGGATGTAGGAACTCAAAGTACCAACAGAGAGGGAAGAAGTCTTCACATCAAGGATCAATCCTACCTCCTCTGTATACAGGGTTGATAAGGACAGGCAACTTAGACATTGGCTACCTAAAATGGAGGTGGGGGGCTCTAAAGGCACAAGGAGTCCTGGTGTGGTGCTGTGGGTTAATGCGCCAAACTGCAAAGCCATTTGAACTGCAAGGTCGGCGATTCAAGCTCACCAGCTGGTCCTCGGAAACCCTATACAGGGTTGCTATGAGTCAGAACCAACTCCATGGCACTTAACAACAACAATAACATAAAGGCATGAAGTGACTGGCTTACAAGTTTTCAAGAGGGAGTTTAGTTTCAGAATGTGTGGAGGGAAGGTAGAATCCCCACTGAATTGTTTTCATCTTGTCTAGATGGGTCTGGTGAAAGGAGATGGGGATAAGATTCCTATGATTCAATAGTGAATAATTGTTATCATGACTAATTGTGATTGTCACAGCTGTAAAGGTGGAAGTTTTATAACAAAAAGGGAGAAGTAGTTAATCTTATAGTCTAGGAACAGAGGACCCTAGGACCATCAAGGGAGAAGAGCATAATTGGAATGTGGGACCCTATCCAGAGAAGCAGCGCCACCAGAGATGGAGGCAGAGATAAGGACATGGCGAAATGGAGCAGCTGAAGACTCTAGACTCATGCAAAGAGAAAGGTTGTGTGCTGGTGGCCAGGAGGCAGGCTTGCAGAATGTGCCCTTTGGTTGTTTAAATTATTATATATTCCTGAATGTTTTTGTGTACATCCCCCCAAAAAAAGAAAGCAGATGGAATAGAAGCAAATCCTGTTGAATGATGATGCATGGAGGAGATTGTAATCATTGCAATGAAACGATGAGTATAAAACCGATGTTCTCCCAGGTAAGCTATCACTCAAGTCAAGATAAAAACTTTTTTAAAAAAGACTGGGGTAGAGTGTAGTGAGAAATGGGCAGTGTAAGAAACAGGAAGAGCCTATAAGGGGCTGATTTATCCTGGGGAGGGGGCTCCACCAGGATAGAAAGACCCCCTTTCTGGTCAAGTGGGCCACAACCCCAGCCTGGGCAGGGCATGAGCAATGAGAGGCCGAAGACTTCCTCCAGCACGCTTCTCCAATATTAAGGGTCTTCAAAACGTTCATGCAAAATTTCATGATTTTTTTCATTCCATTTTCCAAAAATCTTTTAAGCCCTTTCATGTGTGCTAGAAAAATAGCATGGACTGCAAGAAGAAGAAACATATCTCTCTGGGAAGAAGTACAACCCGAATGTTCCCTAAAAACAAGGCTGGTGAGACATTGTCCGTCATACTTTGGACATGTTATCAGGCGGGATCAGTCTCTGGAGAAAGATACCATGCACAAAAGTAGAGGGTCAGAAAAAAAAAAAAAAAAAGGCCCCCAACAAGCTGAATTGACACAGTGGTGGCAACAATTGGCTCAAACATAACAATTGTGAAGTTGGCTTAGGATCAGATCAAGCTGCGTTTCTCTCTGGTGTGTATAGGGTCACTATGAGTTGGAACCAACTAGATGGCACCTAACAATATGTGCTGGGTGTCCATTGTTTGCTGGAGTTTTGCAACCCTTTTAGGGTATAATAGGGAGGAGGGGCTGCAGAGTAAAGTTAAATTCGCAGACCTCTTTCCACCTTTGACACCCTCTACCTTGCCCACCTCCACCCTGCCTTGGGACCATGGATGTTAAAGTACTGTCCACATAACCCTGCAACCTCACTTCACATTGGGGACTGTCCTGTACCCCTGAGGCCTAGCACCAGCACAGTCCTCCAGCCAGTGCCCTGGACCTGGTAACCCTCTTGGGCAGACACCCAGATATGGCTGGCTTTAGGGCAGGATACAGAGCACAAGCCTTGTCTGAGCTCAAAGTCAGATGGTCAGGGCAGAGAAGGGTAAGAGTCAGAAGAATCCGGACTTAGGAGGTTCAGTAAGTTTCAGGGCAGCTTTGAGTGACCTTTCTGAAACAACAGCTCCAGGGGCAGGTCTTGCTTAAACCTCTTAAGTGGGGCTGAGTGCTGGGTGCTGGCCCCTCCCTTGTCTAAATGGCCCCCTCCTCCCTGAGTCTATGAAGATCTTACACTTATGGAGGCCCAGGGAGTCCTTGCAGTCCTCTTCTGGGCAGCGGTCATGACCCATTTGGCTGTTTCCTAAAGGCCTGACCCCAAGAAGTGCCCAGTAAACCTCTACAACAAGCAGACCTCTCCATACCCATACATACACCTGAGGGTGAAGGGCATCCTCCCCAGGATAACCCCCAGGGTACATGGAACTGGAGAAGAGGAGGAGGAGGAAAGTGCTGCCTCCAGGAAGTCCTCCTGGGCCAAGCAGGGGCCCATCAGGGGCCAGAAGTCACTGTTTACAGGCCCTAGTTAAGAAGCGAGGATCCTGATGTGACCTTACAGGAGGAGCACTGGACTGCTAACCATTCACACCAGCAGCACTGACTAACAATACTCGTCAGGAAGGGGGCATTCCTGGTGTGGCACCTAGGATAACCACTGCAGTGTTAACCACAAAGTTCAAGCCTACCAGTTGTTCCCAGTTGATCAGAACTTACTGCATTTAATACCACCACCACCGGTCAGAAAGGAGCTCTGGTAGCATAGTGGGTTATGCATTGGGCAGTTAACCACAAGGTCAGCAGTGCAAATCTACCATGGGAGAAAGATGAGGCTTTCTGCTCCTGGAAAGATTGACAGCCTCGGAAATTCTATGGAGCTTCACGCACAACAGTGGGAAGCGACTCCAAGGCAAATCACCACCACCACCAGTCAGATAGGGAAGAGTGTGACCTCCAGGACCCTGGGGCAAATCTCTTGAGCCACTTCCTTTCCTCTTCTTTCGTTACAGGGGCTGTTATTGTCCACTGCCTTGGAGTTGGTTGCGGCCAATAGTGACTCTGTACAGGGTTTCCTAGGAGTCACTGATGAGGCAACATCTTTAATGTTGCTCCTCCAGGACCAGTTGGCATCCAGTTGGTGATGACTCACAGCCCATGTGTGTCAGTGGACAACTGTTGTCTTTTCAGAAACTGATGGCCTGGCCTTTCTTCTGAGGTGCCTCTGAGTGAACTCCAACCTCCAACCTTCAAGCCAAGTGCAGTAACCATTTAGGACAACAGCAAGCCCTCCCTAATCGATTGCTTCCCTGAGTGGATGTCCTGGCCTCTGGAGCCCTGGCCTTGAACTCCAAGTGGACCTCCTGCCCCTTTCTTGGCCTCGGTGTGGGGAGTGGGGGCTGAAAAGGGAAGGCTGCCAGCCTGGACTTCCCCATCTGTTAATGGGCACCACCCACCTAGATGTGGGATGAGGGAAACCTCAGGCCCCTTTCGAAGGTTTTTCTTCCAGCTCACGGGTCCCTGCTCAGGCACTGTGGGGCAGCCCGGGATGGGAGCTGACGCCTTGAAGTCCCCACTAGCATTTTCCCTGCCCCTCCCTTCCAGATTAAAGGAAACTTGCTAATTGTGGCAGCCTTGCCCTCTCCCCTCCCCCACCACCGCCTTCCTCTCTCCTTCCCCTCCCCCTTCCATCCGAATGATAAAGGACCCGGCCCGCCCGCCCTGACCCGGCCCCAGGCCCCGGCCTTGCCTCCACACAGATCCCCAGTCCCCTGTGCCCTTCCACAGGGCCAGGCCTCAGTTCAGGCCGTCTGCCCCCCACATGGGGTCCTGCAGAGACCTTCACCTGGGTCCTCCAGGGGCACAGTCCCTGTCTCAGCTCCCCAAGAGGAGGAAGAAAAGATACCTGCGGCATGACAAGCCTCCCTACACCTACTTGGCCATGATCGCCCTGGTGATCCAGGCTGCGCCCTCACGCAGGCTGAAGCTTGCCCAGGTGAGAGGGTACCCCCACTCCCAACGCCCAGTGGGCCGACCTTTCCTCAGACACCCCACGAACTCCCACCCTGGGGTAGGACTCCTCCTTCCTCCCATCGGTTCCCCACCCACTGCCCAGCTCTGGCTCCAACCTCCACCCCCACCTGGCTCCACCCCACTATGCCGAAGGGGTACTTTAGAGGGGGAGAGCGGGGCTCCGGCTGGCCCATTGCCGGGGAGCAGTGGGGCCCTTGCTGGCCCCTCTCTGCCCGGTTCACAGGTGCCCGCCTTGGTTTCAGATCATTCGCCAGGTCCAGGCTGTGTTCCCCTTCTTCAGGGATGATTACGAAGGCTGGAAGGACTCCATCCGGCACAACCTCTCCTCCAATCCATGTTTCCGAAAGGTGGGGTCGGGCGCGGGTCGGAGCCTGAAGTCAGGGACGCGCACGGAAGTCCCAGGCATCCGGGGTGAGGTAGGGCCCACCCCAGCGTGGGACCCACTCCAGCCTACCTACATCCTTTGCCCCTAGGTGCCCAAGGACCCTTCGAAGCCTCAAGCCAAGGGCAACTTCTGGGCAGTCGATGTGAGCCTGATCCCAGCTGAAGCGCTCCGGCTACAGAATACGGCTTTGTGCCGGCGCTGGCAAAGTAGGAGTGTTCGTGGTGCCTTCGCCAAGGACCTGGGCCCCTATGTACTACACGGCCGGCCCTACCAGCCACCCAGTCCCCCACCAGCACCCAGTGAGGGCTTCAGCATCAAGTCCCTACTAGGGGACCCTGGGGAGGGGCCATCCTGGCCCCGGATGCCTCCTAAGAAAAGCCCAGCTCCAGCTGCCGTGGGGTGCACGGGGGAGGAGGGGGTGCCCACACCACCCTTGCCCTCCGAGAGGCCTCTGTGGCCTCTCTGCCCACTTCCTGGACCCATGAGAGGTGAGGGGGAGATGTCCCAGGGGGGGACTAGTGGGCCCTCGCCCCTCTCTGGGGAGCCCGGGACCTGGCCCCTCCACCTAATGCAGGATTCTCCAGACACCAGGGGACTGTCTGGAGGGGGACACAGGACTCCACTTTGGGGACAGCTGCCTACCTCCTACTTGCCCACCTATACTCCCAATGTGGTAATGCCCTTGGCCCCCCTCCCATCAGCCTCTTGTCCTGGCTGCCCATCTGCAAACAGACCAGCCTACTGGGGAGTGGCCCCTGAGGCCCAGGCACCCCCAGGGTTGCTCTGGGATCTCGATGCTCTCTTCCAGGGGGTACCTCCTAACAAGAGCATCTATGATGTGTGGGTCAGCCACCCCCGGGACCTGACTGTCCCTGCCCCAGGCTGGCTGCTATCTTGGTATAGCCTGTGAGGGCCCTAAACAATAGGCACTGTCCCCTTCCTGCCATGGGGAGGTTGTCTGCCGCCACAGCAGCCACCAACAACTTGCTGAGAGTCCATGACATTTATTGGACGGCCCATAGAAGGGTGGCAGCCAGGCTGGGCCCAAACCTGGCCCTGATGGTCAGTCATGCCTTTCCCCACCCCCACCCCCAAGTTGCAAAGCTGGAAGGAATGGGGGCTCTGCCTGGAGTAGCCCTTCCTGTCCCATCTTCTCAACACGGTTCGTCTGTCCATCCATCTATCACCATCTGTCACCTCTCCTCCCAGGCTCTAGGGGAGGGCTGGTAGTCCTCCCTCGGCTATCTGGAAAGGAGGTGGCACCTTTTGGGGGAAGGGGGAGGGAATGAAGACTGGCTCTGCATGATCTGGGGGGGGGGGAACGAGATAACAATAAAGGAATTTACAACATTTTAACGTCAAATCTGGTTGGGGGGGAGGCAGGGATGGTGATTTGGGCAACCACTAGTGGGGTCAGTCTTCCTAGGTTCTGAGACCACCTGCTGTGTATCCCGATAACAGCAAATGGTGATAAGGTGGCATCTGAGGGTCTGTGACCCACTGGGGGTGGGGGAAGGGCGGGGGGCATTAGTTCTCCAGGTTTAACACTCCTGGAGGGGGGGTGGGGAGGCTCTGGAATCTGGGGGGCAGCGGACTCCCAGAAGTTAAGAAGGTTGCATCCAGAAAAGACAGGGTGTGGGGACTTTGCTGCCGCCTCTGCCGGCAGAAGCGCGACCCCAGACCCCTTGGACACGGGATTACGGTGGCAGGCCCTCAGGGGAAACAAGTGTCGAACCAGAGCCGCTATCGCGGCGGGGGCTTGGAGGGCTGCCAGGGGACGGCGTGGGAGTGCAGGGAGTCTCGGTGAGCTGGGTGTCGGTGCTGAGGGAGGAGGGCGTCCCAGAGCGTGGGGGTCTGCGGCGCCGGGCTGGCCCCAGCTCCACTTTGCCCACCCTCTCGGCGAATTTGAGGGAGCAGACGGTCTCCCCCAGGTCCCCCGGCCGCGTGGAGATCTGCGAGGAAGCAGTGCTGGTGGGCGGGCCCTGGACTGGGCAGTGTCTGTCATGCAAAGTTATGTAAATGAGCCCCGCCCCGCCCGCCAAGGCCGCCCACCTGCAGTAACAATACTACGGTGGCGCCCGGCGCGAGCGCGGGCTGCAAGAGGCGAGTGAGCTGCGAGTCACGGAAGGGCACGTGGGGTCGGCGAGCACGCAGCGCGGCCATAACGCTTCCCAGCGCCAGCAGCGAGCGGTTGATGGTCCGGGCCTCCCGCAGCCGCTGAGCACGGTCCTTGTCTCCCGCGGGCGCACTGTCCGCCCCCGCCTTCCATGCCCGCTCCGATCCTGCCAGGTCCACTAGGTGCAGCGTGCCTGTAGGGACGTAGGAAGCCGGACTTGAAGAGAAGCTGGGTCCGGGTGAGGCGTGGGCTCCGACAGGACGCTGATACGGTAGTGATACCTGTCGTGCCCGAACCGAGCCGTGGGGACGCCGCGCGCAAAGTCAGCGTGACCAGGGCATGGGAGCGGGAGCTGTGCTGGTTCATGGCTGTGGCTGCCGTGGCCCTGTTGCTCCTCCCCAGGCTCAGCATCTGGAAGATGGAGTGATAGGGCTGAGCTTGCAGGGTACCTGCCCCCAGGTGGAGGACAGGGAGGGGAACTTACCTGGTGCAATGTCTCCAGATTCGGCACATCCCAGTGGGTAAGGCCAGCCACCTGGATTTCCCTGTGACCTGTTGGGCCCTGCCTCACTGCCAGCCGCTCCGGAGGCCCTGGGGCCAGGAGGTCCCTGGTCAGAAAGGGGGAGGCATTGGTTCCTAACACTAAAATGGCCTGGGGTGCTTGGGCGGAAGAGGATGGGGAAGGAGGCCTCATGGCTGACCTGACAGCCTCATTGTAGATCTCCACCATGCTGAGGGTCACTCGGTGCTGCCCTCCAGGCCCCATCTCCTGGAATAACGACTGCAGCGCTCTAGGAGCAATGCCAGGGTCCTCAGGTGGGCCCTGCAACAGGGTGGCGGTACCACATCCAGACTCACATTCCATCCAGCCCTAGGACCACCTGAGTCCCTGGGCTGCTACCTTCAGGGAGTGGACACTACCCCACCTCCATACTGTAGGTCTTCCCGGTTCCCGTCTGCCCGTAGGTGAAAATGCAGACACTGTACCCTCGGAGGCAGGACAACACTGCCGGCTGGAGCTCTTGGAATACCTGGGCAGAGGGCAGGAGGGGTGGGCTGGCCGCCTCCCAGGAATCCCCTGTGAAGAACTAGAGGGAAGTGGGCTGGAATTCCTCAGAGGGTTTCAACAGTATTGGGAGGACGGACCTCCCAAGACAGGGAAAACGCCACACACAAGAGGGCATTTGCCTGGGGTCTAGGCAAACATAAGACTGCCAGGCAACACATGGATGAACTTGACAGGCAGTGGACTATGCCCCAGAGAGGGGAATGTGCACACTTAGAGGAAGGGCCTGGGGGTAACCAGCCTGGACAACTGTGGCCATCAGAATTCAGAGGAGGCTATCGGGAAGGGGGCTGCTAACTCTGAAGGCTCCTCAGCTCTGCTTGTCGGGCTGGTCAGTGTGCCCCTAGATTCCATGGAAGAAGGCGACATGTGGAGGGGTAGAGTGGCACCACTGATACTTTGGCTTGGACACAGTGGGCAGTGGGTAAGGAGCACTGGATCTCTGGGGGACTGTGCAGGGCTACAGTTTGAAGTAGGACCAAGGTCAGGGGGATGAACCGAAAATAATGGGAAATGATCACTGAGACCCTGGGAGGTGAGGAGGGGGCATCTGCTGTTGGTGACCACTCTTATCCCAGGAGGCCTATGGTGCTGGTGTTGTGAGAACCACAGAGGCCATTGGGTCACTGAGTCCATGGCAGTCCTCACCCTCTCAGAGCCGCCTCCTCCTCCTCATCTACAGAAAGTTCTAGGGGCAAGGTTGGTATCATAGAGATGACATGCTTTTGATAAGAGGCGAGTGTTCAAACCCTTGTCAGCCTGGCTGGCTCTAAGACCTCCACCTTCCAGCTTGAGTCTGATAAAGGAGGGCAGTCGGGGCAGCCTGAGTGCGCTGAGGTTCCAAACTCCATGCATTCCCATCTGGAATTTCAGACTTGGTGGGGTGGCCTGCTTACATGGCTGGGTGGACCCCAGGCCTGGGGGAGGGGTAGCCAATGCCTCCCAGGATGATGAGGCACCAAGACATTGCCCATCTGGTCCCAGCCAGTTCGGTATGAGCAGTGACCACCACAGGGGAGCTTGTGCTCCTTGGTGTGAGATGTTAACCTTCCTGTTTAAACCAAGAGGGCTGTTTCTCCTAGGCCTGCATGGAGCCATGGAAGAAGCAGAAAGGGAGAACCCCAGCTGGGCTGGTGGTCCCACACTCAGGCCAGCTGCTCCCTTCCCTGCCTTGCTGGAGTCCCAGCTCCCCCCACCACCCTGCTCATCAGGGTGGGCAGAGAAGGGGAGATTGGGACCCCACTGAACTCAGAGGAAGGGTCAGGACAGAAGTAAGTAGGAGGTCACCTCCTCCTGGCTGGCGTCTGGAGGGAAGACCCAGTCCAGACGGAAGCGCCGCTGGCGTCCTCGATAGCAGGTGGTGACGGTGCCCCCAGGTCCTGGCTCTGTGCTCACCAGGCCACAGGGGGCCCCTGGCCTCAGTCTGCACAATACTCGGATATTCCCTGGTGGGGAGGTCATAGCATTGGATCGCCTGCTGGCTCCCTTGGGCCTTGCCCGCCTCTGTCTCCCAAGTCTGCCTACCCTTGAGTTCCAGTAGCCTCCCTGGGCACCCCATTGAGGGCCTTTGCTGCTCCTCAGGGAGTTGAGTCCCCGTGCCTTCGCCTGACAGCGCCCCCAAGGCCCAGGATACCTGAGGGAACAAGGATGTGAGAGGAAGTTCAGGGTAGCAGGAGGAGCTAAGGCGCGGGTGCTGAAGGCAAACCGGGATCATGTACACTGATGATAGTGGCCACCCACAACTTCCAGTGGTGTGTGATGGCGTCTGAGGGGTCCACATGCAAGGACAGCACACACACCCACCTCCAAGTTTCATGGCAAGCCTGTAGGGGACTCGATAACCACCCAATTGCACATGAGGAAATTGAGGCTGGCCCAGGGTCACACAGAAGCCTTATACAACGTCCCCACCCCACCCCTGCCCCACAGGGGAGGAAGAAAGAACGGGCTGGTCCCCAAGGCAGGATAGGGAAGAGGCTGCCTCAGAGACAGGTGCCATGAGGGGAGGGGTCTGACCTGGCCCCGGGCCTCACTCAGAGAGCCCTGGCAGCTCTGGGTGAAGGTGCTGACCAGCCCACGGAGGTCTCCACAGCCCTGACGCAGGCTGACCATGCGTGCCCGGAGTCCTGGTGGGCCAAGACTGTTGGAGGGACAGCCCAAACCCAGGCCCCCCAGACCCAGCCCCTCCCAAGCCCTTACCTGCCAGCTGCTCTCGCACCTGCTGCAGCTCGCGCCTACAGTTCTGCTCTGTCTCCTGCTGGAGCTGCCCAAAGGCCCCCTGGAGGCCCTGCAGCTGGACCTCCTGAACCCCCAGCTGCCCCGCCCGACCCCAGCCCTGTCACTGAGGAAGGAGGCACTTACCAGGCCCTGCCCCTTTCCCCCTCATTGTGCCCCAACCCTCCCAGCCTCTAGGGCCCCCAGCCCACCTGAACTCGCAGGGCTTCCGTGGTGTCTTGGGCCTCCTGAAGACGGCTCTGGAGCTCCACCAAGGCCTCAGCTTCCCCCTGCTTCCACAACAAAGAGCCGGTAAGCCCACTTCCCAGATGGGGAGGAGCGAGCTGAGCTGCAGTGAGCCCACACCTTCCACGTGCACACAGGGCTCTGTCCTCCAGGTACCTGCTTTCCTGGGTTCAGCCCCAGGTCCCATCTACAGGCCTGGATCAAAACCGCAGCCTTCAGGGAACTTGGGGAGCAGCAGCCGAGGAGCGAGCAGGGTACCTGAGTGTCTCTGGATGGGGGACCGGGCCCCCAACGCAGTAGGAGGTCCTGCATCAGGCTCAGACTCTGTTTCAGGGCCTCGTTCTCCAGAGTAAGATGCTGAACCCTCTTCTCCGAATCTGTCGCCCCCTGGCGGAGAGGAAAGCTCTCAGAGCCCTACCTGAAAACCATGGCTCCGCCCCTCCGACGCCCCCAGCAGCCTCACCACTCCCAGACGCAGCCGTCCCAGCTCCTCCTCTTGCTGTTCGAGCTGTAGCTTCAGCTCTTCCAACTACGGAGGTGGGAAGGGGACAGAGTGGAGCCATTCCTTGCGATCTCCGCCCCAATCCTTACCAGGTCCCTGGGTTCTCACCTGTCCCAGGATGAGCTGCTCCAACCGATGCCAAGTCCTCTGCTCCTCCTCCAACTGAGGGGACTGGTGTCCTGGGACCTCACCCCTATACACCTCCTCAGGAGCTGGGGTGGGGTGTGAAGGGCTTTCTTCTCCAGACGTAGGTCCTGGGGTGGGGTGGACCCAGTGAGGATTGAGGGCTATCCTGAAGGAAGGGGCTCCCCAGACGTTGACCCCAAACCCTGGACTCCAAACTGCCCAGGTTCTTAAGTTTGCTCCCTCCAGAGGGTTCCTTTGAACTCAATCCCCTTACGCACCATGTGGAGTGGAGGGCTGCACCCGGGAGACTGGCTGGATCCCCTGGAGCAGAGCCTGCCGCCCCCTGGGGCTCCGAATCCATGCCAGGAGCGCCAATAGCTGACTGGTCACTGTCAACAGTGGGGTGGCCTCAACGGGCTGTAGAAGAGAAGACCAGGGCAGGGACACTCTGGGGGAATGGGCCAGGGGCTCATAGGAAAGAGGACACTTGCTAAAAGAGCTGCCAACTTTCTAGAGGATGGGGTCAAGGCAGGCGCCGGTGGGTGTGTTAAACAGGAGGTTCTTGGGAGCTAAGTGCCAGTGGAGCCAAGAAAGGTCAAGATCTAGGAGCAAAGGGAAGAGACCCTCAGCCCTGCTCACCTTGCCCACATCGGGAGGGTTTCCGCAGCCCTCTTCCGCCCCCAGGTGGACCGAGAGGAACTCAGCAAGTCGCGTCAGAGCCTCTTCCAGGGAGACCTCGGGCGGACGGCCCTCGGCTGCCCCTGCCAGCCCATCCTCGGACTCGGAGCAACCCGCAGGGCCTGGGAGTAAGCGGGTGGGGGGGGGGGGAAGGAGGCGCTCCGGGTCACGTGCAGGAGGTCACCTGCCGTGTCCCTTCCTCCCATCGAGGTCACAACAGCGCCCCTCCCTCTATCGGACTCGCAAGTCCCCCCACCCCACTCTCGACACAACGCTCACGATCCGTGGACAGCACCTACCGGCCAGGTCGGTCAGCTCGGTCCACAGGTGGGGCGTGGGCTGGCTGGGGCGGCGACGGCCTTTGGTATGGCAGCGGGCACTCTAGGGGGGAGCAGAGGAGCCCCTGAGAAGGGGTAGCAGCTTGCGGGGCTCCCTCCAGGGACTGGCCAGAGAGATTGGGCTTCCAACACCTGAACAGAGACGGGGTTCTCATCATGGCCCCCACTCCCCAGAGGCAGAACCCGAGGACATAGGCTGCGCGGGCCTGCCAGGACCCCATCTGGTTTCCGAGCGGGGCGCAGCGCCCGCCCCCACTCACCTGGGTGGAATCCTCCGGGTCTGCGGCCGCCGGGGCTCCGCCATCTCTACGGAAAAGGCTGTAGAAGATGTAGATGAGCAATGAGTAGAAGGCATACATGGGAGCGCGGGGCGGCAGAGGGCCCCCGCTTCGCGCCGCCCCGCGTCCCCGCGCCCGGATTCGCACCCGCCCGCCGCAGCGCCGGTGCGCATGCTCGGCCGGCCGCCCCCACAGGCACTCCTGCGCGGCAGAGGGGCGCGGAGTAAGCGCCCCGAAATAGTGTCCAAGGGTCGCATCGCGCCCCGAGGTCCCATCCTCCTTATAGCCAGCCCCCCATCCCTACATTGCTATCTGAGAGCTCCCGGGCCCTCCTTTCGGAACCCCCCTCCTCCGCACCCGCCACAGAGAGTCCCATTGCTTTGCTGACAGGTGCGCTATCGGCTCTCGTGGTCCTCAACTTCCAACACCGCCTAACCCTTCCCCGAGTCCCTCCCTCCTCTCAAATACGCCCCATAACTGCCCCCTCCTCCCAGACCCACCCAAGACCCCTCCCCTTCTCCCAGGCTCCTCCTCTTCTCCCAGCCCCTCCACAGGCTCCTCCCAGTGTCTTCCCTAGGCCCCTCCTCTTCTCCTAGCCCCTTCCCCAGTCTCTCCTTTCCTCTCAGCCCCCTCCCCAGACCCCTCCGTTACTCACGGTCCGACCAAGACCCTCATCTCATCCCAGCCCTTTCTTCAAGCCCCCACTCCTAATCGAGTACCCTTCCAAACCACTCACTCTCTTCTTGTGCCGTCGCGTCTTTGTCGTTGTTAGGGGCCTCTCTAGTGGGTTTCTATTCATAGCAACCTTCCGTACAAGAGAAGGGAAACGCCGGATCCTGCACCATTTTCACATTGTTGCTATGTTTGAGTTTATTGTTGCAGACAATATGGCAGTTTATCTCTTTGATGGTTTTCCTGTTTCTTACTTACCCTCTATTATACCAACCATCATGATGTCCTTCTCCAGGGACTGGTCCTTCCTGATAGTATGTCCAAAGTGCATGAGATGAAGTCTTGCCATCCTAGCTTCTAAGGAGCATTCTGGCTGTACTTCTTCCAAGACAGATTTATCCATTCTTCTGGCGGTCCACAGTACATTCAATCTTCTTTGCCAACACCATAATTCAAAGGCATCAATTCTTCCATAGTCCATATTCATTGCCCAGTTTTCACAAGCCCATGAAGCGAATGAAAATACCATGGCTTGGATCTCAGAGTAACATATTTGCTTTTGAGCACTCTAAAGAAGTCTTTTGCTACAGGTTTGCACTGTACAATTTTTTGTTGTTGTTGTAAATTGAGTGAAGGTTTGCAGAACAGAAAATCAACAATTCATATACTTTGTTTCATTACAATGATTGCAATCCCCTGCATATACCATCCGTTAACAGTATTTACCTCCACTCTTCATTCTTCCCCACGTCTTCTGTACTTTCATTTTGTTGTTGCCACCTGCTTTTATCTTTATTAGTATGAGTTTTACAGAAACTCCGACTGCCTTTGTTGTTGTTAAGTGCAGTTGAGTCAGCTCTGACTCATAGCGACCCTGTAAAGGGTTTCTGAGGAGCGACTGGTGAGTTTGAACTGGTTGTCTTATGTATCTAGAAATTAATTTTAATAACATGTAATAGGCCAGCAGGTGGTACTCTCAGAATTGAAATATCATCAGGAATCTTCTGTTGTAACAATAGTTACTTGACCAAGGTTTTAATGGAATTAAAGCAACATAACAAGAGATTCCAAAGTGAAAAGAACAGTATTAATGTTGTTGTTCAGTGCCCTGGAGTCGGTTCCAACCCACAGTGACCCTGTATAGAGTTTCTAAGGGGCAGCTCGTGAGCTTGAACCACTGACCTTGCAGTTCAAATGACTTTGCAGTCTGACGCATTAGCCCACAGCGCCACCCCAGGAGTCCTAACAGTACTAAGATAGAGACTAAAATTTGGTTCTTCATCTTGTAAAGAATTTGACATTATTGCTGGTATAGGTGCTGAGTAACACAGTCTGAATCTCTGTTTCGGAAGTTAAGCTTTTTCTTCTTCGTCTTCAACTTTTTATTGTGAATTGAGTGAAGGTTTACAGAGCAGATCATCAGTTTTACATTCAGTAAATCATACACTTTGCTTTATTACAATGGCTGCAATACCCTCTGTGTACCAACAGTTAACAGTATTACCTCTATTCACGTTAACTATTGCATTTCTCCCTACCTCCCGCTACCTTCATCTTTCCTCTGCTAACCTCCCTTTTGTTGCATTATTGCCTGCACTGTTACCCAAGGTAACATGTATTTATCCTCTAGCTGTGAATAATTTTCCCTCCTCCACCCTGTAACCATCATAGATTGTTTATTTTATCAAGAAAACCTTCTCCTAACTTTTTACAACATTGGCCTCACACAGTATTTGTCCTTTTGTGATTGACTAATTTCGCTCAGTATAATGTTCTCCAGGTTCAATCATGTTGTGAGGTGTTTCACAAATTCATCATTATTACTCAATGTTTTGTTTGTTTAACCGTTCTTCTGTTGATGGGCATTTAGGCTGTCTCCATCTTTCTGATATGTGTTTTGTAGACAGCATATTGTAGGATCCTATTTTCTTATCTGTTCAGCTCTTTATGTCTCTTGACTGGTACATTTAATCCATTTACAGTCAATGTAATTATCCATAGGTATGCATTGATGGCTGTCATTTTTCTGTGTTTCTGTGTTTGTATGGTGTTGCTGGTTTCTTTGTTTTTCTATGTTGATTTCATTTTGTTTGTTTGTTTGTTTGTTTTCATTTTCATTTCTTTCTTTCCGCCCCCCTGCTTAAAATGGTCTGTTTTATCTTGAAATCTACTTGAGTTACTTGCAAGTTGGAAGGTCTTTATCTACACTATTCCCTCTTTCTGCTTTGTAGTTGACTTCATTATACATTGATATCTTGGTTTCCTGTCTTCAGTCTTATAGGTTTGTTTTGGAGTGCTGGTGTGGCACTGTGGGTTAATGTGATGGATTGCAAGGTCGGTTTGAACGGCAAGGGCAGTGGTTCAAGCTTACCAGCTGCTCTTTGGAAACCCTATACAGGGTCACTATGAGTTGGAAGTGACTCTATAGCACTTAACAATAACAAGAGATTTGTTTTACTTTAAATACTTCTATATCTGGATTTTGGAGTCATGTTATGGAGCGCTGGACTGTAAAGTGGGTTTGAATCGCAAGGTTGGTGGTTCAAGCTCACAGCTCCTCCTTGCAAACCCTATACAGCGTCGCTATGGGTCAGAACCGACTCAACAGCACTTAACAACAACAACATATCTGGAATGAATTCTGGGTGGTGTTGTCATGTGTGGTCATCTCAGGTTGTTGTCTATTGTTGTTGGTTCTCAATCCAAAAAAAACACCCTTAGCTTTTTTGTAAAGTTGGTCTGGTCATTTTCAGAGTCCTTTAATTTCTGTTTATCAGGAAATGTCCTAGTATTACCTTTGTATTTGGACTCCTGGTGTGGTGCTGCAAACCACAAGTTCAGCAGTTCAAATCCACCAGCTGCTCCTCAGAAACCCTACACAGTGTCACTATAAATTGGAAGCAAATCAATGGCACTTAACAATGACAACATTTGAGCAGCTTTGATTCTTGATTGGCAATATTTTTCTTTCAGAGTTTTGTATATGTCATCCCATTGCCTTCTTTTTTTTTTTTTT